GTATGGTTACTCTTTTTCCTATTCATAGACTACATTTTCGTGAAACGCAGGTCCCTTCCCAAGGCTGAATTTGTTCTTCGGTTACATTATCTCTCTAGCACTGACACTGAGCTGCTGGATGAAATTAAGCCAGTGATTTTTGTCTCTCTTTTCTTCCAGGTTTTTTATGTTTACACCACACAGTATTTGGTACAAGGTCTGTTTCTTCCCATGTTCAGCCTCGGCTGCCTACCACCTGCCCTTGACTCTTAGCAGCAGCTATCAAATGTGTCCCTGCCCATACGTGTTCTGGTAAGCAAGGTGCTGTGAGAGAGGTATGTTCACGATGGGGACGCTCCAAATCCAACTACAGCAATAAAACCTAATTCTTAAGTGTAAGACAGTTGGCCATCTATACGTTAGGAAGAATTATTGCCAAATGCGGTTTGATTTTTTTGGCGTTTGTTTTTTTTGGGGGTTTGGGGTTTTTTTTTTGGTTTTTTGGGGGTTGTTTGGTTTTTTTATCCTTCTCTCCTTCTTATTTACAGAGCTTTCTTTACTGAGAAAAGCTGAAGATACCTCACTGGCTTCAGTATGAAATGCAAAATGTTGTGTTACTAAGTAATACTCACCATCACAACCAAGTCAAAAGGGGCTTCCACAAATGAAAAGCCTCAAACAGTAAGTTTTTTTTTGTTTTTTTGGGGGTTGTTTGGTTTTTTTATCCTTCTCTCCTTCTTATTTACAGAGCTTTCTTTACTGAGAAAAGCTGAAGATACCTCACTGGCTTCAGTATGAAATGCAAAATGTTGTGTTACTAAGTAATACTCACCATCACAACCAAGTCAAAAGGGGCTTCCACAAATGAAAAGCCTCAAACAGTAACTGTGACATGACAATATTTATTGATTCTAATTAAGGTTAAAAAAAGGTCACAGCTGTCAGATAAAAATATCTGCAGAGCCTATTGAAAAGGGAACTTAAGAAGGAAACCAAGGGAGACAGTCACCACAGAGGCACTTGAGAAAATGCTACAGTTATAAAAGGCACAAATTCATCACACACACAGCATATATATTCCTGCAAAGTGAAGTCACTCTTTTTTTCCAAAACACAGAGGCAGGCATCACTGAACACTGACCTGTACATGACCACAGGAGACACGCTATAAGCAGCAGTCTATGACAATGCCTAAACGATTTGACTGTAGAGATACTTTGAAAGCAAGACTGCTTTGCCCATCTCGATTTTATCTCTACTGAAGAACAGATTGTAAGATCAAGGTGATCTTAAGGTGGTAGAGATGGGAGAGGGAACGTTAGTCCATTTAAACATAGGTCAGGTGTATTTGTGAGCATTTGTAACCTGCGATTTAAGTGGGTTTGCTTCTTGCCTGAGAGCAGTGGCAGATCTGTTGTCATTTAATCCTGGCTCCTTTTGCATCCAAGTACTTTTGGAGGACATACAATTCCTTCGTCCTCAAAAAAATTTTTCTTTCATGTCTCAAAAAAAAAAAAAAATCTTAAAATTTCTGCACTTCTGTAAAGTCTACCTCAGTGAAACAATAGTCCCACTGAGGACACAGGAAGATTATTTTAATAGAAGTCCCTAGCTTCTCCTCCAGGCCTTGGGTTCCAGTGATGGACAATGCTCAGACATATACTTAATTGTGATTAATGTCTTTGTTGTATCGGCAGCAGATGTGCTATTTGGAATCAAGATCTGCACTGAGAAAAAAAATGCCCTAGTTAAAGGAAAGAGAAGGGGCTGCCTCAGATTGCTCACTTCCTTGTTATTGTCGAGTAGTTTATACAATTAGCTTTCAAGTACTTCGGTTAACACAGATTTTCATGCCATGACCCAACATCCTTTGCAATATATAGTTGCTATCAGAACAATGTACAAGCAAGTAAACCTCTTTTTTTCGCAAACTTTTAAGAGCCTTACAAAATATGTATGATAACACAAATCAGTTCATAAGAGACAAATACTATTATTTCCATGGTTGGTCCTATAATACATTTCATGAAGCTGGTAAACTGCTGGAACTTTCATGATAGCAGATTTCTTATCAAACATGTTGATAAATTAAGAATATAGCACAACTGGTTACCCGTTAAACCAGACTTCATTCCTCTCTTTGAAGGGTTGGCACGAAGGAATTTTAAAAATGTAAGCCAGCGCTAACAGTTCCCTCTACCCACGGGGAAGCAACTTGATTCTCTACCTACATTTGTCAATTTTCTCATCACACTGGCATCCACTTACACAAAGTGCCACGTATTCCTTTTATGTGGAAGATGTCGAGAAAACAGCAGCAAATCCTTCTTTTTAATCCCATAGTGGTGATAAGCTCCAAAGCATAATCGTAACAAGACATGGCTGTAAAGACAAAGAGAGCATTCCTAATGCTTTGGCAGTCTGGAAGGAAGATGACAGAGACTTCTGAGTGCTAATACAGATGTTGCAATTCAGACCTCCCAGCTCCATCAGATTTGGCTAGAAATCTCAGGGGATCCAAATTTAATTTGAGATTTCAAGTTGCACCTACTTTTAGTTGTGGCAGAATAACATGAGAAATGCTTTGTGGGTTTTTTTTTCCATTTTTGTTTCACTTTGAAACTAAGAAAGGTTTATAACTATATACACTTTTTTTGTTGTTTTTACATTGACCTATCTCATTAAAAGCTTTGGTTATGATTCAGTTCAGTTCTAACTATACCTAACTTCTGTTTTTCCTTGGATTTTCCACCCCTGTGGCACACGTTTTCTTGTTAGACTGGGAAAAACCTCTGCCAGATTCAGGAGCAAAGAAGAGAGAGGTACATTTTGGATGCAAATGAAACCAATTTATCCTCATTAGTCTCATGGATCTGCTCCCCTTTAGAGACCTGCAGAGTACTTCTAGGGCAGAAGTAGGACTTGAATTCCAAACAGTTTTGGCAGTCAAATCATCTGCAAATGCAGCAGTTCTTTATATGTTAAGTATGTATTCACCGTCTAGCACCTACAAATATTGGGCCAAGACTTTAAAAATGTCTTCCCAAATTTAGGTTCCTATGTTTATTTCTGGCCTGAGAATTGTCCGAGTTGCAAAAGCTCTGAACTTACACAGTTCCCATTCAGCTTTCGGTTCCTAATTCATTCAGTAAATAAATCACACAGAAAGAAAGCCATATAGAAGCACTCTGTGGCAGGCAAATGTCCCAGCCACTTAATGCTCTATGTGATATAATGAGAAAGGCCATATGTACACTGCTGCACTGTTCTTCTGACTTGAAGATCTTTATGTCTGAAAAGTTCCCCTATGCATTTTAAAAGGCTGTTATGAGGATATTCATTTGTGATAAAATCCAAGCTGCCGCTACAAGAAGATTTTTAACTGGCACATCAAGTTAAAAAGAATGAAACCTAAGGGCCAGAAACTGATGTGCTGTTCACAAATATTATAGCTTTATAAGTAGTTCAGTGGATTTCCATGGGACTATTTGGAGAATGAAGCACTACTCTGCACAAGAAAGATCAGATGCTAGCCCAAAAAGTCTGCCTGAGACTGGTGATACAGTTCCTCTACCGTCTGCTCACACTAGTTGCTGAACATATTATTATACTTTCCTCCATGGCTTTTTACTGCAATGTAATTTTTTACATATAAGTCGGCACTGGTTGAAGGGACAAGTGCAGCAAACAGGCTCAGAAAAATTCCAGACATCTCAAACTTCATCTCAGTTATACCTGTGTCTTCCTGTTTTGTGTTGTGCAGATGTAAAACAACAGAAATACGTAGAACAAGGTACCATCACGTTGACATGTAGGCACCTAAGGTTTTGATGGTTGTGGGTTTTTTGTTTCTTTTTTTTTCCCCTTCTTTTTTTTCTTTTCTTTTTTTACATTGTTTGAAAGGTATCAGGCTAGGGAGGGCAGAAGCACTTCCATATGACTATCCTATCCATGGTTGTCTTTGATCTCTCTATCATTTAGATCCTTGATTAGTTACCAAAAGTGCACAGTTAGTACAACACAGCACAGCAGGCAGAAGTGGAAGTGCTAATCCCATCAATATGGTTGCTAGGAGAGACTGAAGCTCTGAATCAGCTAAGCTGTGTTCAGCACGAAGCAAGTGCTGGGGGGCAGTTAAGTTATTTTTTCTGTTGTGCTTTTTTTTTTAATGCTAACGCTACATTTTCAAGCCCCTTGTGCCCTGCCAGGCAAGAGATAGCCTCAAGGTGTTCAAAGTATAAATTTAAAGTAGATGAAAGAAAGGAAGGAGATAAGAAAAAAATATGTAAAAGAGTTTTTTATGGATGGCTTTACAACTTCCCGGGGTAGGCAGAGGTTCATTTGTTCTCTTGCTATCTTGGAGCAACTTAGGGAGCTAAAAGAGGACCTTGGAGGCAAAGAGATGTCAGACAGGGTGAAAAAGGTTCGAAAAGCTGTGTCTGTACAAGGTTCGCCGTTCACACTCCGGTCCAACAGCCTGATCTGCCATGCTGGTGTACACATCAGCTATAGTCTGGAGCCTGCCAGTTTTCTAGGCAGCGGAGATTTGATTCCGCACAGGGACGGACTCGACTGGGACACACGAGCTCTGCTGTTCCAGGCAGTGTGAACACAACTGGGGAGCCTGAAATTCAACCACATTGCCAAAGGCAGTAAAAACATTGTCCTTTAACTCACTGTAGGACAAATATGCCACTGGAAATGCCAGCAACCTATGGCCACACTTGCATAGTTCGGATAGATAAATTTAGCCTGACTTGTCCCTTAGGTGCTGCCGGGGCTCTAGACATGTGGGTGAAAAATAAAAACACTAAAAAGATCCTTACCAGCAATTTGCATGAACTGGTTAATTATTCTTTAAGCTACGGATTTCTTTTATCAGTCTACCACACAGGAAGGTAGAAATCCTTTTTTTACAACTAGAGATGGAAGTGCCTGTGAAGACTTGGAGTTCAGGGTCTGGTTCAGATATAAGTGTAAAAACAACTGGAAATCTCATCAGAACAGACTTCATAAAGGTATTTTGCCACTTCTGTTCCAAGATCTGGATAAAAACCTCAAGGTGATAACGCTTGTCAGGGTATCCTAGAAATTCAACAACCAAAAAGTTACTGCTAGAAGCAGGCCTGGATTCAAGGGGTTCTTTTTCAATATGGATCCCCTTCCTTTATCCCTCCCCTCCAGCCTCTTCTCTCTACTGTTTTCTCCTCTTCCCCAGTCCTGATCTGATTTTGGAGACAGAAAAGTAAATACATGCCAAAAAAAACTCCGAAAAAAAGAAAACCACTGAAGTGTGAGGCTTTGTGTTGGCACCTTTTTCAGTTTCGAACTAGAAGTCCCTTTTTGTAGGCAAATAACCCAGCCGCAGCCACAGAGGTAAAGAAAGTGGAAAATCCAATCAGCTTTAGCAGTCCCGGCACAGATGGCAAGTTCCTCTCCCAGAAGGTTGTAGTGATGGGCAAAGCTGGAACATCCTGTAGGAAGAGCATCCATTATCAACATAACAACATCTCCACTGTGAGAGGCAGGATGTAAATCAAGAGATTCTCGCTACAGAAACGGAACTGGGTTGAAGCAGTTCAAGTTGTCAAGAAGTACAGTGTTTCAAAATTTTCTGCTCAAAGGGAAGAAGAAGAGACACATGGAAAGGATTCATAGCCTGCTTAAAAAGCACAGTTCTTTCTGATCCCACATTATAGTTGTCAAATAGGTGCCCTCTCTGAGTTTCTATCACGTTCCTGTGTAAAAAAAAAGGCAGTTTTGGTGAGTAAGGGAAAGTTTATTGCAGATTTGATTTAGTGAACTTAAATAAAAACAGCCAATAAAATTTTATCTCATTAGCAAAACTGCAGGGAAAAAAAAAATCATCCATTTAATCTACAGAAAGACTTACAATTGATTCAGGTTCTGGCTTCCAAATTTCACTGTCTGGGATTTTCCTCATAGCAAAGAGTATCTGAAAATAAATAACATTCTCTAGTAAGTACCATTCATTCTTTGAAAGGGAAAAAGAGCTGGCTTCAATTTTTGTTTTAAAATGGCATGATGAAGGATGACAATTGAGCACATAAATTGCTGTGCATTCAAATTTTAAAAGAAAACTCGACCTTTGTACAACTCATTTCTGGGAGGCTTGATATTTAATAAAACACTCCTCCTAGTGGAAAATAGCAACAGTAACAGCAAAACCTCTCTATGCTTAGTGCATGCAAGATATCAGGACTTGACTAGTCCCATGGAACAGGGGAATATGAATATGACTAAGAGTTAAGTATAGGTAAAGTGAGGCATGCATAAACCAGCTACTGCATGGGCAAGCCAGGAGTTTTGCAAATTTTACCATGATGTAGGAACAGGAACAGAATCCTGTGAGTGATGACAGACCACCACTTTCAGCCAGAGAAAAGCAAGACTAAACAGAAAACCTTCACAATGGAAAAGTAACCATTCAAAGTATCAAAGATACCAGAGATCAGTAGGATAGCAAAGATTATCTGAAATGATAGTCATGAAAGACAGCAAGATTAACTTCTTCTACAGTAAAATAAACTGGAGGTGGTGATATTAATGTTTTTCCTATTCCAGGCACTTGTAGATTTAAGATTTGCCGTCTTTCATGACAGGCTTTTATTCCAGACAAGATTCATTGACCCCATCAACTTTTCAATACACGAGCGTGAGAAACACCCTTGCACTAGATTTTAAACATATTTTCCTTTCACAAGTAAATGAGGAAAGGAAAACATCAACGTTTTTACCAGCCAAGCTCACTTGCCCACTTCTCTGCTGAGGCCTATGGAGGTTCTGCTGTAATGTCCTTACATGAGAGAGGTCATGAAGCACCACTTCTGGAGGTTTTCAGGAACAGATTAGGTATAACCTTCACAAATGGGACAGTTTAGGGACAGTTGATCCCTGTGTTTTGGGGCAGGGGTATGGACTAGATGAACTCTCCAGACCCCTTCCAGGCCAATTTCTGTTCCACGACTGTAGTTTTTAGCCACAAGGTTCCCTTCACCTCATAAAACAAAGATGAAATTTCTTTTGCTGCTCCATAAACTGTAATATTCCTGAAAATACTTGAGGAATTGGCATTTTCTCAGAAGCAAAATATTTAAGTCCTTGTTCAATGACTTTATGTAAGGCTGTCTCAATGGTATATCACTGTGTCAATATTGTATTGTTGGAAACAGTTGAGGAAAGGACTGGCTTGGTGTGCAGAGCTGCAGAACTGAGTTGTTCCTATAGTGAGGCTAATGGCCGTGATTTCTCAGTATTATGACTGCCAAAGTGCCCATTTGGGGGAAAAAATGACTAGGTGAGAATTTGGGATTTCTGTTAAAGAAGAAAGGATTTCATTCCTGGAAACAGAGAAGAGTTTGATGCAACAGCGAGAGCCCTTCCTAAGCATTCCAAATCTAAGTGCAAAACCTTCATCCTTTTTGAAGTCTATTCCCTTTGCAGGGATTTGCATCAAGATTTCAGAACACCTGAAGCTGTCAACACTCAGTCCCCATTTCACCTCCAACCAGACCCTTCATCTTCCATAGGATATTTGACAGTGCCCCCTGTTTTGGGCTTGCGTCTGTACCTCTCTGGCTGCTCTTTCTCCAGCCTGTACAGCCCCCTCCATGTATCCGCTCCACTCTGTGGCTGTCTCTGTGCCAGCAAAATAGATCCTGCCAACAGGCTGCCGAATAATCCTGGAGGGGGACAAGCAGTAAGTCGCATCAGCCATATCAGGAAAGATAACTGAAATCCTTGGGTTAATATTAGAATAGAAGTGCTTTAAATAACAGTGAGCACTTAAAGATAGTAACTTTGGGTGAGTTGAGCTGGAAGGGGAGTCTGCATTGCATTTCATTTCTTACAGTAAACACACCAGTGTTCATATTTTCTAAACATTTACACTGCAATTCTTGAAATGTTATTTCTGGTTGTGAATTTAGTGCTCATAGGTGTGAAGAACAATTAGCTTGAGATGAGGCTTATCCTATCTCACGATTTTAGCCAGTGTCATAAATGCAAGTGCTAGACATTACTAGCACAGTGTAGCATTCTGAAGTACATCCCCATGATATCTAAAGTAACAAGCAAACAAAAAAGAAAAAAGGATTTTTTTTACCCTATTTTTGCCAGAATTTGCAATAATTATCATTAAAACGACTTTAAAAACTAAGGCCTCCATATGCTCTTCATTACAACTGCTTTATTGCTCTAAGTTCTTTTTAAATTGTGAAAACTTATACTTCAAAAGTAAGCCTATGCCACCACATTAAAAACTATGTATCTGAATCCAATCACTGGTCTGACCAGCAAGCTTTTTTCTTTTTGGTAAATCTTATTTTCATGCAAAAACTTATGTCAGAAAGGACTGTATACAATGGCACACTGATTACTACATTAAGCCTTGACTGCTAAAAAGAAAGGAGCAGTCCAAAGAAATCACTCATTACTGTCAGTGTTGGCTGGAGTTAAGTCTCTGCCGGTATTTATTAAAAAAACAGCTAAAGATGTGCCGGAAATGGTAACACCACTCACAAATACCCAATGGCAATTTTGTAAACAGATTGTGAAAACTTCCCAATTCCCTTCCAAGAACCTAGTCAGCTGTATTCACCAAATAACAAAAGTAAATAAAACCCCCTAATGATACTGTATTCATCCATCATAAAGCCCAACTGAGACAAGTGGAAGGTTATAATATCTGTTTAAAATATTCCCCTGTGATCTTAAAGGTATAAAGTGAACTGTGACAGAGGATTTATGACCCTTTCTGAGGATATTTATTAACTTGCTCTTATCTTACTACTTTGAAGCCCACTATAAATAGACACTGTACCTTCCATACTGAGTCATTATGCCTGGTGGGAAGTAGGCTGTGTAGCAGCCCCCGGAATACTGCTCTTCACACCAGTTCTTCTCTTCATAATGCACTGGCTGTAAAACAGAGATTAAATCACTCAAGGAAAGGACAAAGTCTTGAGGAAGCTGATAAAAGAACTGATGAGACAGCAGAGAAAAATAGCTTATGATTTGTTGCATGTCAGCATCTGACAAGACGAGCACATTTAACAAGTCTCTTAATGCAGCATGGATCCAACACAATAAGCCTTAATTTTAGACACTGCTACCTATTTTTAAAAAAACTAGCTAATCTGGCCACTGTAGAACATAACCCGCTTAATCTGTCAATGTAAATTTATGCTTTGAGCACAAATTTATGCCATGAAAGCAAAATTAACCTCTGGTGTACACAGGTATACTACTTGTAGTATGTACACTGGATACAAATATATACTGTTAAAAATGCAAAGTATGGCACTTGCGTAGCTCTGCGTACAATATCATTGTGTTTAAAATGATGTAATCTCGAGATTGGTGTCTACAACTTTTAACTCGCGTAAAATTGCCCTTAAAGGATAAAGGGCATTGATCACATAAACTATGCGAGATCACACAAATCCTATCAGTTATTTACCATTACAGGGAAGAGAAGGCAAGGGAAAGGCAAAAAGAAAAGCACATGCGGCAATGGATCTTAGCAACTAGTAAGAGAGAAGGAACATTATGCTCAGACTGAGAGGGAAAGGCAAGCTGTCACATCTGAAAACAGTTGAGATGTATAGTGGTAAGCACTGTGAATGCCACCCATGAAGCTGGGCAATAACATATCTGCCTTTTAACTGTTTCATAAACTCATTCTTATCCTCACCGCCAAACACAACCCAAGACTTGCCACAGCCTTCTCTCCACTCCTCTACAGAGGGCAGCAAGCGCTCCCGTAGCAGGTACCTTTTCCGTAACGCTACGCAGCACTGTGCTGGAGCACTGCTGCATTCCGGTTTCATTCTGCCCTTCCCCGCCTCAACAAGTCTGACAAGAGACGCCGTGGCTTAGATTTTGTGCTTACATGTAAAGCCTCCTCTGATCCCAGAACCTTTGCATAGAGCTCACACAGCGTCGTCTTCCTGCAAGAGAAAAGCAACAGAAGACTTCTGTGTAAGGAAAGAGAAAACAAACCACTTCTAATATGTCCTAGTTTCAATAGAACTAGTATTAACATAATCCTGAACTTGAGGTTCCAGCTTTTTGGGATCTATCCTAATCGATCAGCCTCTGGATCACTAGAAATAACTCAAACTCCTATGCTGCGTAAGTGCCGGTTTTACCAGCAGTTATGCAAGCTGTTCCCTTAAGATACCTCTAGCAGCCCAAATTCGTATATTATCCAAAGGTTCTCTAGGCTGTCAGGAGAAGAAACTAGTAAGGCATTGCACTTTTTTGTCTTGGCACATAGTCTAACTTATGGTTTGTTCCTACAAAGGTATTGATAGCCTAAGGCTCTCAGGGAATCAGTAGTTTATTTCTGTATGTATAAAATTTCCTCCTGTTTTAGTTTATGAGTCTATGAATCCATTAATATACTTCATCCTGTAGCAAACCCCAAGTGCAATTAAGTTTGTTCCTACAAGCTTTTGGGTCTTACTGTTTACTGTTAGCCGCACTGCACCAACTCCCAAACACAAGAAGATCAAGATGAAATAATAGTTAACAATTATGAAAAACAAACCCACAAACACAACACTGGAAAGAAGTTTACTTCTGGAAGCAAATCCTCTGCTCCACAGAAAGCCATGCTGGGCACAGAAATACAGCAGTCCCAGCTCTGTAACTGTATAGGCTACACTTGCAGCTATATAAGCATATGAGGAAACCATACCTATACTGCTGTATGAAGCATCTCGGCTATACAGGAGCCCAGCCCATGAGCAGCTGAACTCAAAGAATGCTATAGAAAGGCGATGAGGAGAAAAAAGACCAGGAAGACCTGAAGGGCGTTGAAGAAGGTGTCCTCCTGTGCAGGCTGGGGCTTGAACAGGAAAGTGAAGGCTGCTACAGTTCAGGAAGAGCCATGGCCTGGGGTGATTTTGCTGCTGGCAGGTGTCAAGCCCAGCAGCAGCAGAGGGGAAGGAAGCGGCCCCTTACTTGTGTCCCTGAGCGGAGAACAAGGGTCAGCCTGCTCCAGAAGCAGAAATGGTGATACAGTGACTGGCCAGGAGGGCTCACAGAACTGCACTATCTATATATGAACTCTGCATATGGATCTATGTATGATCTCAGATATGGATCATATATCTCATATATGGATCTACGTGACTCTGCAGTTAGGGGTCGACATGAATCCAGCAACAGCCATAACAAAAGGAATCACTTCCTCCATCTCTCTTTCTCCGTCTCTCCCTAAGTGAGGTGACCACCGTGCCCTGCAGGCCACCAGCACCTATCCAGTGTCTGAACAGAATAAAGCCATTTTAACAGCATGATCCAGCAAAGCCTCTGCTGAGGTCTGCCCACCACCTCTCACAAATGCCCACCGGCTCCTGCTTTCAGGGCAGGTCAGTAGCACCACAGGGCTCCACGGGAAAGTGAGTTATCACCTTGGGACCCATCTGCTTCTGCTCCTCCCAGCACCACGACAGGGATGAGAAGGACCCTTCTAGATCTGCCTGTTCCCTGCCCTTTTTCCACACATGACTTGCAGACCCTTCAGGGAGCCTGGAAATGGCATACCAGGGGCTCGTAGGGATTCTCATGTACAGCCAACTGCAGGGCTCCAAGAAGGTGCAAGTTTACTGCTGTTTGCTAACTACATTGCATATACAGATAGTTAGTTTAAGATAGCTGTGCAAAAGATAATATTAAGCTTCAGGTCAAGGGCATCTTCCGACTCTTAAGAAACTTCAACCTTGGAAGGAATTATTCATCAATAATAAGGTATTATTTGACAGAAAAAAACCCACAGAAATGCAGTTTCTAAAGGATTGAATCGTACCCACAGTAACCTATCACTGAGGACATGCAGCTCTTATTCCACAGCTGTGTGTGATGCCATCACCTTCATTGCACAGCTCTGAAAGGTAGGGCACAATCTAGCCACTGTAATTACTCATGGGCACCTGGCCTGGGAAGACCAGCTGGAAGGCAGCAGCGAGTTTTACTCCCTTCAGTCTGGCTTAGGCTGTAAAACGGTTTCCATCCCCTCCCACAATCGCTGTTCCCAGCCATGATTTAGGATAGCTGCCAGGGACTCTACATCCTGCTCTTTGTATCCAAGGATTACCAAAAACCTTACCCTGTCATCAACGTGATAAAGGGAGAGCCTGGCTGTGTTGACAGGTAAGCAGAGCATCTCAGCAAGATGCATCCTCTGTAGGGTGCCACAAGAAGCCTGTCCTCAGAAGAGATCCCTCCTTGCAAACACCATAGCCCCCACCTAAACACCACAAACTGGCTGCACCCTGAGCATACACTGGGGGAAGGTCTGGGTTTGCGCTCTGCCTTCTCCTGGACCCTGGTTTCGACTGGAAGGAGGTTTGTGCTCATGTCCAGGAGAGGAGCAGCAATGCAGCCCAGCGGGTTCCTGCCTTGGCTGACTGTGACCAGGACTTCAGGAGCCAGAGGCACTCCTGCCCCCTGCACCACGGTACCTCTATCAGATACCAACTCAAGCATATTTCGTAACCATTCTTTACCAAAGCAAAGTCCTTCCTAGTCTAAGGTTTATTCCTCAAAAGACAAGAGTTCAAAATCCTTTTGTTTAAAACTTGGCCGTAAGAGCAGCATAGTCAGAAAATTGTGCTAATGCTTTTAACACCTGGGGGAAAGCAACCTTTCCTTAATGGTGCCTTGCAAACAGCCAGGACAGTCCTTCATTTTACAGAAAGAGAAGCTGTTCTCAAATACTGCAAATGCTTGGTTGTATCTAGTGTATTGACACACAGCGTAAGACACCATTTGGTGTTTATGATGGCTTAAAATGCTGGGCACACTGGATTTCAGAATATCTACACTACTTATATTGTCAGTCACCTGCTGGCAGTCTACCTCAAAGCCTGACTGCTGAGGAAAAGGCTGCCTTGTCCATTCCTGCCAAAATTAAAAGTGCTCTGTGGTACTGTCACTTGAAAAGTTTGGGATATTTACAGTCCCATTTAGACCCATTATCCACAGACTGCTAGACTACCTGCAAAGCTAATCTGAGATGACTACATCTTCTCTAGTCAGGCTAGCTATTACTGTAAAAATGTTTACTTGGACACAGTACTCCTTGTGGCATGCTTTAAAAACAAATGTATTTTCTCCATGTCAGAATAAGGCTCTCCTCATATCCACACTCTCTACTTGCAGCTTTCATTTGATCAGATACTGTGAATCAGTGTGATGGAAAAAACTCATTACTTTGTAAATTCTATTTTAGTAATAAACAAAAGAGCGCTACTGTATGCAGGGATTTGTTTCAACAAGACAGTAAAAAAGACCTTCATCTGTGCCTGAAGGGCATTTTTTCCCATAACTGACGGTGGAGAGCTGGAGGCAGCTTTTTGACCCCTTCATGATGCAGAGGTCTCATTCACGGCAGCTACAGCAGCCCCAAGATTGCATTAAGTTACAGACACTGAAAGGATCCTCCAGGGCGATTAGAAAAAAATCAAGCACAGGGACCAAACCCGTCCCTTCTGACAAGCTTTCAAAGAGCTCAGTGCACTTGCAAGAAGCCAGAGGGGTAGCAGTGGGGAGGGATGAGGCTGGCCCTGGATGCTTTCCAGTGAGGGCTGCAGAATATCTACACTACTTTCATAGTCAGCAGCTTAGAGCAGTTCTTTTGCCAAAGTCACATAAGCAGAGCAGCCCTGCTGGAAAACGAGAACCAGGACCTGAGAGTGTCCAAAGGGCAGGGGCTAGCTACCACATCTGCTGCCTGTTTGTGTGAATTCTGTGGGGTCTTCATCCAAAAACAATAAGGAACAAGATCTCTTCTAAGTGACATGTCCTCCTACTGTTGCAAAGTTACAGACAACTTCCTTCAAATCGGGACTTTTTTCCTGTTTTGGTCATTTATAACAAAAGTTCGACTCAGATTCCATGCAGATCTCCAGTGTTTGTACTTACCTTTCTTCTTTTGTGAGACATGTCAGTCTTCTACACTTCCGAGCAAGAATGAAGCTGTAAAAAAAGGAAGACCACAAACAATTGACTTCCATTATGTTATTACACTTCCTGTATTACTTAAAATGCCAAAACCTTATGATGAGATGCTTGTGATTCATAGTGTTAGCATTTGGGTCTCTATCCAAAATATCCATTTCACCTCTCTGCATAATGTTATATGCTATGCCTGCTGCTTGCAGGACTCCCTGCGGAAGGAACCAAAAAAAAGCTGTTTCCCAATGACCTTAATTTTATACAGCAGTGTGTGCAGGCATATAACAACAAGAGGTGACGCCTGGACTGAACTGGAAATAATTGTTAAAAAAATTTTCTAAGACTGATCATACTCTCTGGCTGTTTAAAAAAACAGAACAAAACAAAATATAATTCTGGAAAACAAATTTTCATTTAAAGAACTGGAAGAGGGAGGCAAAATATTTGGAAAAAAACTTTACATTTCTGCAATCACCCCCTTCTTGCTTCTCCTTCCTTTCCTCTTCTCCAATTTTGTATTTTGCCACACAAAAAGGCAAAACATGACAGTGAGAAAAAGAGAAGAAAAATAGAATTTCATTTTTTGAAATTACCAACTAAATCGTAGGGAGAACTTTTTTGAAAGAAAAGTTCATAGAACATATTCACCACACATTGAGAAACTCAACCCTTCAACTATTTTAAAGTATTTCCCTTCAAAAGTAGCAGGTTTTCTGTTTCAATTGTTGCCTCTAAGGCAAAATAAAAAGGCATTAACTAGACACTTTCTTTGTCTCTCACCCTATTATGGCAGGAAAGCTGCCATCAGGCTTAGTATCGTCAAGCGTTAAACCAATTGCTGCATCCTCATCTTCAATGATCATGGTACCACAATACCCTGGTAAGCACAAAGTGGAAAAGAAGTTAGGATCCGTGTATCCGAACGCAGGAATGAGCTTCCAAGAAGTTGTGAAATACTCGGAACTTGACTGGAAAAAAGCCCTAAACAACCTGATCTAAATTCACCCTGCTTTGAGCAGGGCATTGGACTAGATGACATCCAGAGGTCCCTCCCAATCTCTACCATTCTCTGATTCTAATGTAGGGAGATACGAAAACAAAGGAAAGAACAACAAAAAAACCCAAGTAAAGTGATCCCCATCAATTGACAAAGATTAGTGCACAGCTCCCTTGCAGTGTAGTGTTCCTTTGGCTCAGAGAAGTGCTAGATCATCTCTAGAATTCAGATCCGAGATGTGCTAACAATTAACAATCCTTTTCAAGCATCTTTAAAACAGAAAGTCAATAAAGGAATCTCCTATTGTTGAATTAATGATAGAAAAATAAATTATTCTGCAACCCGGTTAGCAAGGTAATTATTAATTGCACAGATTGCTCTCAGATTCTGAAGATGTTCAAGTGCCTCCAGCACAATTTTTTCCGTATGTGACATTTATGTCAGACATAGGAGGAGATATTTGTACATTGTTTTGAAAACACAATTGTTCTTAAAAGAAGATTTTGAAGAAAATAATTTGTTCTTAAAAGAAGAACAACAGTGTTAGCAAAGCACAGTATGCAAACTATGGGTTCTACCAGGAAATGGAAGCCAATCCATCCCAAATCTAATAGCCAGAATATTTCAGGATCCAGAACTCTTAAAATCATTCACAGAGATGAAGGGTGGATGACATTTGTAGACAAACACAGATGCGGACTCTTTATTCCCACAGAAGAGGTTATAAAGTGAAGAGAAATGGGTGCTATTACATTGCAGATTGTCTTAGATCAGTAAGTTCTAAAAGAGATCTGAGGAATCATGACCCAAGTATTCAGCATGCAAAGGGAGTGCAGGATGGCCAGCCCAGCTAGGGATGTCTATGTGACATAGACACTTTAAATTATTCCTGCCCAGTGCATCCAGAAGGCAGAGTTTTCACAGGCTGATAACTGATGGGATAAAATCTCTCTCCATCACATATCACTTGTACCTTTAGATTACCGTACAAGTGGGAGAGACTCACCTCACACCCAGGTGCCACTGAAGGAAAAGGAGAGGACAACAAAGAACAACCAAGGCAATAAGCAACAGACATGAGTTCTCCCTTCATGCCTACCTCCTCCTTTTTATTCTCCCATCCACCCTCTCTTCCCAACTGACCTCTCAAGTTTCTCAAACAGGGAAAGGCAAAAATGGCATAGAAGTGTACAAAGTCTCCTTCTAAGGTCCAGCATCCTCTAAACACAAGGTCTACTCCATTACCATGTACCCTCCCCTCTCTGTCACTGCTATTCCCTTCAATTAAAATGTAATACCCTTCTTTCTCCAGAAAGTTTCCTTATAGTACACAATGCACTTGATGACTGAGCCCATGGGGATTCGGTTGATGAGCTGGTTTCTCATTGGCGGCAAAGGTGGGTTGAAATGAATCTTCAAACCAAGAGCTGGGGGAATGGCACTGATCACATATTTGCCCTGGAAAAGAAATTATACATAAGCCAAATATATTCTCCACTACTTCAGCCTAAGTATATTACTCTAATGATCTTGGCAGACATCTGGGGAGGCTGCAGGTTGTATCTTCTGACGGAATTTTGGCATTTAGTGTAAGAATTGCAAAACTGAACCCTCACAAAATCCTGGTTGTTAAACAAGAAACAAGCGTTATATAAACAGCCATCTGTTCCAAAGATGGGCAGCTGCTCTTTCCCCAGCGCTTGAAAAAAAGCCAGTGGAAAGACTTTCTGTGTTACAAGAGTCCATCAGTCTCCCTTCCATCTGGATTCCTCTGTTACAACTTCGAAGCAAAGCCTGAAATGTTTTTCACAGAAAGTTTATTACTAAGCTACATTTTTGTGTTCATCTTACAACTGTCCTTTAATTCGGAAGGCAACTGAATACTAGAAGAGATGCTAGTGAAGGAAGAGTTCAAACATACACTTTGGTTTTCAGGCATCACTTAAAGCTCTATCATCGCTATTACTCGGGCACAATGAGGAAGTGTGATTTTCTGTCACGGTCACTTTGATCTCTGCTACATTTTTGTACAGGATTTTGGAGAAGTCAAAAAGGAAAAGCTAAAGGTTTTCTAGCCATCCCAGCACAAACAATTGCTTAAATGTCAGAGGTTTCATTACCTCATATAATTCATGATCTAAGGTCTCCACTATGACACTTTCACCCGACTGGTCGATGCGGACGACTGGCTTCCTCAGCTTCACCCGGCCTCCCAGGCATTCCATTATTTTCTCACTGATCTGGCCAGAGCCCCCAACAAACTTCCTCTCCTGGAACACAGAAAAGGACACCTCGGCAAAGCAGAATCAGCAGTGTGACGCATGTGAAGCACGTATCATGACAAACGTTTTGCTTGGCATTCAAAACAAATCCCGTTCTTCTGTTGTTATCAAACCTTTTTAGGAAAGTTGATCAGTCTCACTTGGAACACGTATTCACGTTCCTTTCTCTTTAAGTGAACTCCTCAAACACTTCCCATATTTGACCACTAGCCAAAACTAAAAGTATCAGTAACCTCATGAGAAAATCCGTTCTCATGTGGTCTCCAAATGGATTCCACAGACCTGTGTGAATCAGCAAGACTTCTGAAAAGTGCTTAAACTTTTAAACCTTTCTCTGAGTTTGCTCTTATCCCTGCAGAGGTCTGTACATCAGAAGTAGGAACCCTGAGTCTCGTAATAAAAAACAAGGTATAAAGAAGTGACATAGTTCACACCAAAAATGTATCCTCCAGTATGTAATTTAACCTAAACTCAAATCACCTCTAACATAACACAGAATTCAAATAATATGTTATGCAATGTATATACAGTTAAATTACCTATAATTATTGCTTATCTATGCATATTTATGCATTTTAACGTTTTAATGTATTCTTTGTATTTTTAGTTATTTATGATTAAATAATTTGCATTTCTAAAAAATAATTATTTCTAATATAATCAGTAAAATTTGCATTTCTCAAGTGTAAGACCATTAACAGAGTCTTTACTTTCTTGAAATGCAGAAGCAGCACTAATATACCAGATTTCAAACATTTCAGAGCAATATCATATTTAAACAGGGGTGTTCATTTTCTTCAGACTGATTTTAAAATCTTAACAGTTTTAATCCTGGGAGCTAGTGTCTTTAGGAACCCAGTTCTGGGCTACATTTTCAGTATTAATTTGGAGCACTGTACACACTCGTGCAGCCAGCATTGCCATCTCCATTAAGTGCTTCTGAAGCAGTAAGGCTTGCTTCAGAGAAATGACAGAAATAAGCAGAAGTAATACTTTCTTTTTTTTAAAGTGCAAAAGCAAAGCACGTGTTTTAACCAGAGCCTAAAAGGAAGCCAGAGTCAGGAACTGACACAAATCTACTGATCCCTGGGCCAATGCCTTCAGCACAGGAAGAGCCTTCAACATCAGTTTTGCAAGATCTAGATTAATGTGTAAATGAATAGAACTATGTGCTACTGGCTCAAAATCATGGATGTCTCAGTTTGCCCTCTGAACTAAAATAAACAAGCAAAAGAATGAAGTTAAAACAGGGCCTGTCACAAGCCGCAGAAGGTGGTGGCTGACAGTACCTGCCCTCCGTTGGTTGTTGAGAATATCCTTGTTGTCCCCCCACACTGCTTCACGTACCACAAAAACCAAAGGGCAGAGACCTCATGGGGTTCAGAAGTGACATCCACATTCACAAACAGAGTCGCGAAACTCTTGGCAGCACTGCAACAAAGACAAGAAAGTGAGTTAATTTAAAAACTGAAGAAGGGTGACAATCTTGTTCTTTAGTAAGGGAGAGACTATCTTTGGCAACCTCTTCTTTCACTGAGAGCAAAGGATTCCTTAATTTCAGTTAAAATAGGAAACAATATCAATTTCTTTTTACACAACATTTTTAAAAAAAATGTTAATCAAGCACTGCTGTATTCCAGCAAAATTAGGGCTCCAGGAGACACAAGAGCCGATGAAAGCTTGTGTCACTTTATGCTACTAATACAAAGTTAGCTTGTCACCCTAGACTCAGGATTAAGGGAAGCAAGCCCTCCTGGCTTCACTGGACTCCAAAACCACCATGTCCTCCCATGGCTCCTGGGTTACATTTAAGAACTGCAGCTCTTAGGGATTATTCAACATTTGTCACAAAAAAGTTAGGGATCTTGTCTAAGCTAATTATCTAAGCTCTCTGGATTAATCAGCATCCCCTCACTGCCTGCTCCTCTGCTGCGCTCCGGGAGGGTGCTGCAGCTGGAACACAAGGAAAGAAATGTAAGTAGGAAGCCATAAGTGAAGAGACAGCACATACACATTCATGCAAAAGTCTGGCAAGAAAAGGGAAAGGATACTTTTGGTTGCTCAAATAGGTATTTTAAAAAGTGGTCTGGTAGCCAGTGGTGATGAACACAGAAATGGAAAAGTAGCCTGTGTCTGAAAAAGGATCACTGCTTTATGTCCTCCAGCTGGTGCTTTCATAACAGCTCTAGTGAAAATTACTGTATAAACCTGTACAAGATTTTGGGGTGCATTAAGACAGAGTTAATTAAGGTTCAGGGAAACATTCCTCCTGTTAGAAGTAAACATTTCCTCTGCCCTCACTCTGAGGAGGAGTTTAAAGGGACATGGACAGGACCAGGAGATGCTTATCTTAACTGCATTGTGATTGACAGGGACTGAGATTCTATAGGTATTTCACATGCCAGGCATCAGGCAATCAATAACTTCCAAAACCAGTACAGAATCCACTTTTAGCTGCTTCTTTCTTTTTTCAGTCTTCAAACTTAAAAAAAAAAAAAAAAAAAGGAAAAAAAAAGGAAAAAGCATAACTTAAGCATACTATTTCAAACAGCTGTAGATCTACATAGAAAAAAGGCATCTTCTGTCCTTTCTAAAAATGCAAAGTCCTGCTGA